AAGAAGAAGAAGAAGAAGAAGAAGAAGAAGAAGAAGAAGAAGAAGAATTATTACAGTATTTTAGTGGAAGGAACAGGACATACACAACTTTGCGGATGGCTGTAGCTGTTTTGGTCCATCCATACAGCTGCTTCACTTTCATTACAAGTTGTGCAGAGTCTTGACTGTTGAAATTAAAATGTTCCCTGAAGTTCCCTGAAAACTGCATGAGAGCAAACTGGTGCAAGAAAAGAAGCACATGGTTATTATGTTGTGTTTTGCCTGCACGGTGGTATGAAAACATATTGTTTTGGAGAACTTTTCTTTTGACTATGGCTGGTATACCCAGGTCACAAACAAATTTAGTCATCTTCTTCAAATTTAGATATAAATGGAAAGACCTATCATCTAAGGCTTTTAAAAAACAAGATAAAATAACATTTCACAATGATTATGAATAAATGTCACCTTAAACCTGACTGAAGCCCTGCCATTTTCATTATAAAGGTAAATGTTTTTCCCTGTCCAGCTGTGTCCACTTCTCATCTCTGTTTCTTAGCCAAGGGAGTGTTATCCAAAGACACTTCCATGGTCATGGCCAGCATGCCTACGCCCCAAGATGCGTGGAACACTGTAACCTTCCCACCAAAGTGGTACCTATCTATCTACTCACATGCTTTCAAACTACTAATGGGCTGGAGCTGGAGCTGAGCAAGGAGTGAGAGCTCATCCCATTACACAACACTCGGGTTTTGAACTTGGCTGTCAGCTGTCCAGCTGACAAGCTCAGCATTATTAAACCGCTGGGCCATTTGCCTCCTCGTATTATAAATGATATAAAGATATCAAATTTTTCCCACTGCTTCCCAGAACAGCAAAGATATCCACTACCTGAGCAATACCCAGAAGGGTTTAGTAGGCCCTTGTTGCACTTTACAGCAGGGGTGACAAACTCAAGGCCTGGGGACCAGATCCAGCCCACGGGGTGCTTAGATCTGGCCTGCAGGGCCACCCGGAAACAGCAAAGGACTGGCCCGTGATGCCTCTGCTAGTGGAAACAGAGCTCTGGAGGGCTACACGCAGCCCTCCTGAGCTCCATTTTCACTGGCAGAGAGTTTCAGGAGGCTGTCGCAGCCAAAAATGGAGCTTGGGAGCCCATTTTTCGGTAGCAAAATGCTCAGGCCGCCACAGGCACCCCTGACACAAGAGATGTCGAGTTGGCCACGCCCCCTCTGGCCCCCTCAGGTCAAACACAAGCCTGATGCTGGACACCGCTGCTTTACAGAATAACAGAGTTGGAAGATACCTTGGAGATCTTCTAGTCCAATCCCCTGCTCAGGCAAGAAGTCCTATATCATTTCTGACAAATGGTTGCCCAATTCCTTTCTAAAAACCTCCAGTGTTGGTCCTGGAGCACCCACAACTCCTGAAGGCAAGTCATTCCATGGACTAATTGTTCTAACTGTCAGGAAATTTCTCTGTAGTTCTAGGTTGCTTCTCTCCTTGATTAGTTTCCGTCCAGGTTGCTTCTTGTCCTGCCCTCAGGTGCTTTGAAGAATAGCTTGACTCCTTCTTTGTGGCAGCCCCTCAGATATTGGAACACTGCTATCATGTCTCCCCTAGTCCTTCCTTTACTTACTCAAACCAGCACTTGGAATGTCCTTTACTTTCAATGCACCCAGCCCGGAACATCACTGCTGAAAGACAACTCCACCAAGCCCTTGTTTAAGGAATATGTCAACACTGATTGCGAATAAAAATACCTATTATACAATTTATCTTCTATCTGCTCACCATACTTAACAGTTTTCTGTGACTTAGCCAGCAATTCAGTCCATATTCTGCCAGGGACCATCCATCCAGACAATTATTGCTTCTTAACGGATGTATATGTATTATGAAGAACTTCTATATAAGCAAAATACTGTAATCTCATCTAAGAAGAAAGGATCTAGCCTTGCTGGGAAATAATATTGGCCCATTTACTGTTTCTATTTTGACTTCTACGTCACTCTGCAGGATCTCACAATTACATAGGGTCTGTGTTGACAGAGTAGGGATAGGATCTGGGTCAGAGATGGTATTCAGCAGGTTCTGACCAGTTCTGGAGAACCAGTAGCAGAAATTTTGAGTAGTTTGGAGAACTGCCAAATTCCACCTCTGACTGGAGATTTTACAGTATCCCTCCCCTGCCACGCCCATTAAGCCACGCCCACAGAAGTGGTAGTAAAAAAAATTGAATCCCACCACTGATCTGGGTTCATAAAAGTTAGGATGGCAGCTGCAGCATATACAAAGTTTAATCTCTTTTGTACATATTTGCTTATGCACGACGCTTATAAAATGGACAGGTTTTGAATTGTGTAGTCATGACCCCCATCTTGATTTTTTGTTTTTCAGCCTTCCTTCATGGATCCTTTCAGCCATGTGCCATTTGACTTTTTATTTCCTGGAAAACGGACCTGCAATATTTTTCACGCAAAACATACGCTCCAGCCACTGCACAGATGTTCTCCTGCTTCTGTGTGGATCAAACAATTGAGTAATCCTTAACAGAAGACTAATATTCTGTGGAAGCAGGAAATCTGGAGGAGAGAGAGTCACAAGGGGTAGGAGGGTGGATGGAATGTTGCGATACAAATATTCCAAAGAGGAGGATCAAATTCAGTCCACCATTTTACCCTAACCCTTTAGTTTAGCAATAGCAATAGCACTTAGACTTATATGCTGCTTCACAGAGCTTTACAGCCCTTTCTAAGCAGTTTACAGAGTCAGCCTATTGCCCCCAACAATCTGGGTCCTCATTTTACTGACCTCGGAAGATTGGAAGGCTGAGTCAATTTAGAGCCAGTCAGAATCGAACTGCTGACAGTTGGCAAGATTAGCCTGCAATATTCTAACCTCTGTGCCACCAGTTTCACAGTATTTATTAGAATAAAAGAGCTGTGGTGGCACAGTGGTTAGAATGCAGTATTGCAGGCTGACTCTGCCCACAGCCAGTAGTTTGATCCTGATGGACTCAGGATTGAGGATGACTCAGCCTTCATCCTTCCGAGGTTAATAAAATGAGGACCCAGATTGTTGGATGCAATAGGTAGACTCTGTAAAATCGCTGAGAGAGTGCTGTAAAGCATTGTGAAGTGGTATATAAGTCTAAGTGCTATTGCAATGGCTTTTTACAACAGAAAATGTTGTTAGCAACCATTGCAAATGATAGGAACAAGTAGTATTGCTTGAATAGCATTGGACCAGGATGTGACTTGGCCCAGATCAGTGGAGAATTTTGCCCTCTCTCCATGGCCCTTACCAATGTATCTCTGCCAGAGAGATTCTTGATGACTTCAGAAACAAATCGCTTCATCTTTTCAAAGTCTTCTTCCGAGATGCTGGAAGAGCCATCAATCAGGAAGGCAATGTCAGTTGGATGGCGGGTGCATTCTGGTGGTAGATATACGGAGAGAGGGGCAGGCATATATTTAAAGGACCCATCAAGCAACCTCCACTACCTACCATGATGTTGTTCAGTTAATGCTTTCACTTAACACTTTTTAGTAAGAAAAAGAAAGAACAGACTTAAATTACCTACTAACTATAAAATGACTACTGATTTACTTTGGCACATTTTGGCTGCTATGCCCCAGGTAGAATCCAAGTCCATATTTAGCCTTGCATGTCCTTCTTCCCTCCCTTCCTTTTCTATCTACCTCCTCTTCCATTGCTCTCTTCCTTTCTCCTTCCTTCCTTTTTTCCTTCTTCTTATTCCTGTCTCCCTTTCTTTCTTCCTTCCTTCCCTCATTAATATCTCCCTCCTTCCTTTCCTATTTCCTTCCTTCCTCCTTCCCTCCCTCCCGACTCCTTTTCTCCAGATCTTACTTGGCAATGATTCTGGAAAATGTTCCTTTTCTTGCAGATTTTGGTCCAACAGAAAGCAGTAACCATTTACATATGTATTTTCCCCACAGGCCCGATGCACCGTGGGGCCACAGACCTTAAATAAACAGAGATGGAAACTAGTAAAGACCAGGTGGAAACTGTATTCTCCATACTTGGCTCTTTAGGGCAAACAGAGGAATTTTGCTGCTTGAGGCCAAATAGAAAGCAGAAACCTGTTTCCCTTCCCAAAGCTAGTTTGGTCATTTTGTCATTTCATGCAATCTCAGTTTCACTTTGGCAATAGAAATTTAACAACTATAAGTGAAACAGTTATTTTCTGTCCTGTTCTAATATTCCAAATCGAGGCACATCTGGCCAGTTTAAAATTCCTCCCTCCATCAGTGAGGCGGTATCATGGATGTCAGTGCAGTATTCATCCACCCTGGTTACATGACTGGTCTCGTTCAGTCTTGGCAAAGAAGACAGGTGGGATCCCAACAGCATATGGAAAACCAGCTGAGGTACAAAATAAAGCGGGAAGATTTTCTGACAGTGGGAGAACCAGCCGCTTCCTGGCTCTGGGCAAGGGGTGAAAGGAAGAACATATTGAAATTTCCTTAAAGTTCATTTTGATATCTTAGAGCAAAAATGTGAGGAAATGTGGATATGGCAGATCAGGGACACTTATGGATCCAGGATTCCAGTCAGCCCCATACATTTTACAAATAAAATTGGCAACAGAGTGAGTGAAGAAGGGAGGGGGAGGGGGAAGGGGAGGGGAGGGGAGGGGAGGGAGGAAGAGGGAGAAAGGGGAGGGGAGGGGAGAGGAAGGAGGGAGGGAAGGAGGAAGAGAAAGGGGGGAAAAGGAGGGGAAGGAAGCAGAAAGGGAGAGAGGGGGGGAGAGAACAAGAGAGCGAGGGGAAGGAAGGAGAGAAGGGAGAGGGGAGAGAGAAAGAGAGAAGGGAAAGAGAGGGAGGGAGGGAGGAAGAGAGAGAAAAGAGTAAAGATGTTCCCAAGTTGAGCTTGATCCCTTCCTGGCAAACTTGTTATCTTGGTCACAACACAAGTCTTCTTCCAGGATGTGAGGTCTTCACAGTTTAGCCTACAGCAAAAACTCACGTGGGCAATGCCTTTGTGTCTGATCCCATGTTACAGGCAAAGTAGAAGTCAGCAAAACACCCTGTCAGCCCCTTCATTCATTATCTGAGAAAGTACATTAATTCTAATTTTAGCTCTGCATCCTGTTTTTTAAATTATGTCTTTGCCTCTTATTTTGGCATTATGATTAAACTTTTAGGGCTTTTTTGAGGCTTATTTAATGGTATGTCATATTAACATCCCTTTCCTTACCAAAAGGCAACTTAAAAATAATACTGTACATACATATATTCCTGGCTAGAATTTTATTATTCTTGACCTGGGTTTAAAACACAACACTTCTGGGGAAAAATAAGGGGAAGGGAGACGTTTTCACTGTGGGAGGCCTATTGGTGGAATATTTTCTATAAGGGGCAATAAGTTTTCACAGCTGTGGATTTTGAAATTTGAGGGTGCTGGGTAAAAAAATTTAGCTGGTGGTTTGCTTTTAGGTAAGATTTAAAAGCCATCACTGCCTCTTTTGTTAGCTGTCTTGATAATATTTATCTTTCAGGGCCCAGTGACAATATTATTATCCTTCCTTCCTTCCTTCCTTCCTTCCTTCCTTCCTCCCTCCCTCCCTCCCTCCCTCCCTGTTATGTCTTTGGAACTGGTTGGAGTTCCCAACCAGGTCCGCTGTT